TAAACACAGATATATTATGAATCGATCATAGGTCAGAAACTTTAAACGCTTGATTAACAAAGTTCTTAATTTTTTGTATTCTTTCCGGAATGACCTTTTCTGGATTTTCATCGTACCACACTTCAAGTAGGAAAATTCCATTATCTTGGCACATGCATCTTTTTAGACGATCACGATTAACAATATCTTCGAGTTTTTTAATATCCTTATACCAGCTAGTATTATGAAACCGATGTTGGGCTCCTTGTACCTCCAACGCGATTTGATATTTTTGAAAGAAGGCATCAAGTTCCAATCCATTCAAGAAGGGAGGACGATACTCAATTATCGGCTTTTCTCCAAGCAATACTTGAGCTATTAGGATACATTTTTCCTGAAATTTACAGTTTTTCTTAGACTCTAGTTCTTTTTTAAATTCATCTAAATCCTGTCTTAACTCTGTATTCTCAGTTTTAATTTTGATGTTCTCCTTTTTAAGTTCAGTAATCTCATCTAACAACGAATTAATTTCAGTTTGTGAAGATTCAGAGGTTTCAGAGTTTATCCAGGGTTCAAGTCCAGTTTTTTTCTTATCTTTTATATAATCTGGAACGAAGTTTATCTGACAAAATGCTTGGTAAATCAGTTAATTTGGCGTGCCACTCCAAATATTCAGGAGTTAGAGCTTTATCCATATTATCGTTTTTCCAGGGATCAAGGCCAGTTTCTTTTTTATACTTTTTATATAACTTGGGACGAATCTCATCTATTGAAATACCTGGCAATACAATAATTTTAGTTTGCCACTCCAAATATTCGGAGGTTAAGTTTTCATGAGTCTTTGATTCTGTGCTCTGCTCATTCATGTTACTGTTTTACATGATTGCAAATTAATTTAAATTAGATATTGACTTTTTCATAAAATTTCTGCATCACGTACAAGTTAATAAATATGCATGGTATCAATATATTAGAAAAAATACACACGCAAAAGTAAACGTGATTATATATGCAAATCGGCCACCAGGGCCAGTTTTATTGTTTTATTGATGCAGAAACATGTAAGTATTTTACAGAATAATAATATAAAACGTATTAACTAGCTTATTTTAGACTTATCCCTCCTGAAATGGATTGACCAACAATCTCGAAAATTTTTTTTTGCTCACCCCATAAAAAATAATTCTCTAAAATGTTTGGTTAAAGATTAATTCGATTAAAAGATTAATAAGGCTTAACCCACGACTTAAACGTTAATATAATTATATTTTCTACTTTTTTCGTTTTTTCACGTCTTTCTTATTCTTTCCTTTTTTTGACGTCTCACCACTTTCATCCTCTACAAACATCGCATCACTAGAGCGCTTCAAATTACGCAGTCTTAAACGCATGTTGCTCCCTGAAGCTCTTTAACCTATCGTCTTCCGAAATCGCATCAATCTTTTCCGTTTTCCGTTTTTTTATGTCTTTATTATCCATTTCCTTCTCTGATGCTTTCTCATTATCATCATCTCCCGATGTATCACTAGTTCGTTTTTTCGCGCCTTTATTACTAATTCCCAAGTTGATCTCTAGTACATATTGGGTTATATTATTAATCCATCCCGGAATTTTCTGACAATCTTCACCTTTGGCTGTCTTGTATCTTTGCGGGTGAAATGTTTCAAAAATGTCCGGTGGCACGACAAAGTATAAATTAAAGTCTTTCACATCCTTTCTCCATGCAAGTAGACGGTCAAGGTCATTAAGCCCTTTTATCTATACAATCTGAGTTAGTGATAAAAGTGATAGCGACAAACTATAATTCAATTATGTCTATTGTCCCTTACTTTCATACTATGATTTGTTGAGACAGTAATTTGGTACAGGTCCAAGGTCTTGTTATTGAGGCTAAAAGAATCAATCGATGCAAATGTCTTTGATTTTGGTCTGTTATAATATTCCTTATGTGCTTCATTCAGTGTCGTGAACCAATTACACTCCATCTCCTTGATATTTCTTTCGTATACCTCTGAGCTATTATCATTCAGGCATCGCAACCTAAAAGTACCACCATTTTGCAACTCTCTATGGGCAAAATCTTCGAACATATTTCCCTGAAATCCGGCAATCTTTGGAAATTCGTGACTGCTCATGATTAAATCACGAGCGTTCCTCTTTGTTCTAACTTCATATTCCTGAATTACCCTATCAAACACCCTCGGAGAAGCAAAACGATATACTGCACTTGCAAATATTGGATCTGGGTCAAGATGTACAAGCCTACCGCTAATGGCGCCTGCAGACATGCCTGACTTATCAATAGAGTTTATACAATCTTCTAAGTTGACTTCATCAATTAATTGTTGGTATTTCCGCTGATATGCCACATCGTCCCACTTTAAAAGAACTGACCTGGGTATTGGACCCCACTTGCCTAACAATTCCCCAACTAATTCAAGTGTGAACTCTTCACCTTTACTATTTTTCTTATTCTTATATTGAAGGGACCAAAGCGTGATGATTTCTTCTCGATCCCAAACCGGCATGTAGTATTGAGTAAAACCTTGCCATTTAACAGCCTCATTGAATCTTTCTAATTTCGGCGATGTGAACAAAATCATATATGCATCACATTGAAATGTCAAAGCTTGCGCATCAACTAGAAGGAAGTTATTAGGATTATCCAGTGTCTTGTCAAACAGGCTAATATCTCCTTTTTGCACATTACCGTCCGGTGAGAATTGATAACAAATTTTTTCGGCAAATTGCCAGACTATTATGGCATCAGGGTAATTGTAGCGAATGTAAAAGAGTAGATATAGACCAAAAAATGTTTTTCCGATACCAGGTGTACTAGTAATCGCACAACCACTTGAGGCTGAGCCACCTTCATCTCTCTTTTGCTCAATTATTTCGAGTAATTGCAAATAACAGTTCCGTATAAGGAGCTTCGATCCATTTCGTTTACCTCCAAGAAAGAACACACCATCCGGTAGACATAGAATTCCTCCAAAGCCATTTATTAGTTTCGGCGGTAACCGCACCTCGGTACATTCTCCATTATTGTATAGCATACCATCTAAATCGGTAATCACACCTTTATTTAGACAGACATGGTCATTTTCAATCGTAAAGTAAGATTCCAGTGCATTTAATTCAGCATCCTCCATATCTTGTGGTTTCGGGAAGATTATTCTTGCGTCAAGAAGTTTTGTCCAAAATTCGACAACACTGGGTCCAGCTGTGGAATAATATAATGGAAAAAAAGAATAAATATAATGCAATTGGTCAACGTACAATAAAGCGAGAAAATAGTAATAGAGATATTCATAATGAATACCCTCCTTAGCTGTCTGAGAAGTCACTAGTTTTTCTTCCAATTCTTTTATTTTCTAAATTAATGTAGCCGTATTTGCATAAGTATGAGGCCCAAGTTAATGAAATTATTGCGGAGAAAGCAGTATGGGTTTGGAATATTCGAATGCAGTTGTGGTACTACTTACCCTGGTCCTCGCCCTTGATTTGTTTGATTAATTTTGCTATAACTTCTGCCGGTCCACCGGGAAGCTCATAAGGGGAGGCTAGAAGCTTTTCCAGCGTTAACTCAAGGAAGGATATGCCATTAACTTCTTGTTTACGGAGAATATCAAAATGCTTATCCTTAAGTCCTAGGTTTTGTTTGTCCAAAAACTCTATTAGTACTTCTGTTTCAGTCCATCTTTCTACTTCGTTGACTGTAGGAAGCGAAACTTTTTCTCTGACGGTAGACATATTTACGTATTTAGTTTTTGGATAGGACGAAAAAATTTTTTTAGTAAGAAATAGTCATACATTCTACCTTTTTATAGTTTATACAAACAATCAGATTGTCGTACAACAGGTCACGTATTGTTACACAATAAAATGACAATACCGATATTGTATTTAAAGAAATATTTTAATAAATCACGCTCCCTGCAGAATTTTTATTCGAATTTGTTTATTGTCATTTAAGCGTATAGTGTGGTATCGAATTCTTAAACTATCATTGTGTGGCACTTTGTACCTAGAGATGCATATCGGCTCATCGGCTCTATTGATTAATCAGTTTTTATTATACTAAATATACAAGCCGATTGAGCCGTTTAGCATCACTATTTGTACCCCGTCTTAAATTATGCAAAACAATAAATAAGCCTTGTGATACAGATAAATTTTATATGCGGAATTATTATTCTACGTAATACATGTTAAATGTTACGTGGGCGAATTATGAAAAATTATGTATAACGACCAAATCGTTAATTCTGATTTATTTTTATTAAACGGTAATAATTCGAGGCTCGCATATATTTTTAAAAATCAACTGAATTCTTTATTTTATTTTTAGATAAATGCCTTTCGGCTAAGAAATATAAGAGAAATGGCTAGTAAGATAGTGTTTGAAATGAGAGTCCCAGCATCAATTTTATTTCGCACTACTACCCCTGTTACTGTTATTACTACTATTACTACTGCTACTATCAGAAAAACTAACTACTTTTTTATTTCCCTCCTTTTCTCTCATATTCGGTTTTTTAATTTTGTCTCTCGTTCATCGAATTCGGTTATTAACTCATTCTTATTTGAAATTTCTTTATCTTTCTTTTTATTTTCTTCCTCGAGTTGGTGAACGATTCTTTTTAATTTTGAAATTTCTTCTAATAATTCTTCTTTGTCTTGTGTAGAAAGTTCGATAGTGTTATTTAACTCTTCTTCAAGAAACCGTATTCTTTCCTCCCGTATGCCGATAATTCTTTCCAAGGTATATAGACGTTGTTCGAAATTCCTATTTGATTCTGCTAATTGTGATACTACCTCATGGAGTTCTTGATTACTTTGTTGTAATTTCTTCATGTTTTTTTACTATAGTATAATGGAAAAACCTTTGATTTATATCGATCCACAAAAAACCTATGAACTCGATCAAGAAATTACTAAGATAAAAAAAGTTAAAGAATTTTCTGGGACTGGCAGTCTCAGAAATTTGTTATTACAAAAACCTACAGTTATTATTGATTCTCAAAAAGCATGTAATCTTGACCAGGATCTCACTTTACAGGAGCTTTATTATCGGCCTGAGGGTCTTTATCAAAATGTTGACAGATTGTGGGACGCTTGTAAGAAAGCTGACTATAAATTTCTATTTAACGAAATAAAAAAATGGCTTGAAGGTCAAGCAATGTATCAAATTTTTCATCCTCCACCGAAGAATATACCTTATGCCAGTTACTCTAAAATTACAAAACCGAATTCTATACACCAGTGCGATTTAATTGAAATACCATATGATGAAGATGTGGATACGGGTTTGTTGGATAATGGCCCAATATTT